ACTTTTTCGTTTCCCTTTTTCGTTCCCTTTTTCGTTTCCCTTTTTCGTTACACATTTTTGCCGAATGACCCTTCCTTATAGACGTATTTACATCAAAAAAGTATATATATAAATATAATATCTGAATGTTCAAAGTTCTTTCCAACTTTGTGTTTCGGAAGCACATGTATGGTAAACAACTAAGTGACAACATCAGTAAATCTTTTTAACGGTGCCAGGGTTAGAATTGGAAGTGACAATAACGCCATTCACCATGTAACATGTTAACATTTTAAGCATTCATTAGTACTAATTTTTTTAAGCAAAGAGAAATTACGACATTGCAACTATGTGAAATATGTAAGTTTGGTGACGTAACGACACACGCATCTTGTCTGCAAGAAGGGAGGGGGAAAGAAATATGTTAGGAACTAAAAATTTATCTGCGCAGTTTACGTTAAAACTTACTCGTGTAAGTTTTGGTTCACTGCGCAGGACAGAGCAAAACATGATAATGGAAAGTGAGATTTCGGGTTCTTATGGCGTCGAGTATGAAGATAGTTACTTTCTGGGCTGTGTAGTTTGATAGTTTACTAGCGTCGGTGAACTTAAACTTCTGCCAGGCGCCCTAATGACCTCTGAATGTCGGCAGACTTCTACCAGACTACTCGGCGCATCAACTCAGAAGACAGAACCGGAGAAGTTTCACGAGCTCGATTTTGGCACTGACGTCTCTGCTTTAATCACATAAATGTTTCACGGGTTTAATTTTATTGCTCAAGTAAATTATAGTAAAACCCGGCACCACAATAATATTTGTTTTCCTATGTCCGACCGAAAATGAACACTGAGAGTTCTTGGCCCTCGTCCTCAGCTAACTTGATCACCTTCGTTGGAAACTGTTATCTGCTGCGCACGTGGCCTGAAGACAGACACTCACTTCGAGCCTTGACCGCTTCAAGCCCTATGAGAGCCGGTGTCCCTGAACGAAGTGAGGAATCTGAAGTCATAAGATGCAAGCATTTATATACGTGTTATGCCTTCTGACCTATTCCAGCTCAGAAGTAACTTCTGAAAGCGTGAATCCTTTGCAGACCCTTTGGGCCAGTAATCAGCCCCACGCAAGGCCTCTATCTACACAGCACAATACAATACAAAAACTTGGGCAGAATATAAATTTCGAGTAAGATTCAAACCCACAATTCTAGGGTTCGAGCTGTGAAGATCGCGTTACCTTAGACTTGTCAACCGTTTCATTACCTCTGACAGTTTTGGCTATTTATATCTTTATCGAGGGCCTCAGAAAAGAATTAATGTCATAGACAATAAGGGAAACTGAGTTTCTTTATCTAATAAAACTAGTATTCATTTGAAAACGGTTAACAGCATAACAGCGAGTTTATTGTAAATTAGTGGTTATTAGCCTTCAAAGAGTTTTGATTTCAAGTCATTGTTAATTTTAAAAAAATTCATACTTTTAATATTTGCGAAAGTTTAGTCTTAGCTTAGATAATGTACAAATATATATATTATTTTTCTCTCCAGAAGCATAAAATGTTTGCCCTTATCGCATTGGTTAATTCCCAAATAATACGACAGGCCACATGTGGACCTTGCAACCAGCCACAGCCCTGAAACGCGCAGGCGCGCTGAGTGTCCAGATATTCAACCAATTGCTGGGATAGGATCAAGCTCTACAATTAATTCACAGTCATAGATATGCGGAACAATAAAGTTACCCCTGAAAATTTGAAAGGCACCGTGAAGAGGTATAACGAGTGTGGAAGTAAAGATACACGCATTATTAACGTCGTCCTTTGGAAAGATTCCAAAATTAATTACCCATCAGTAAGCCTGTGGGGTTGTTCTTTATCGCCCTGTTTGTGCTGAAATATGAGTGGGCAGTTTGTTGTAAATGAAGAAAGATATAAGGAACCGTCACTGGTAGTTCAAACGTTTAAATAAATACAGTCGAATGATTTCTTCACTGTTCTAAGATTGCACAACTAACATTTCAAGAACTTTTGGAGAACGTTTCCATCAGACTTTTATGAAATAATTTAGTTGGTTATAAAACGATGAAGAAAAGCGTAACATTAAGAAAATCTACTTCAGTGACGGAGAGATCAGCTGTAACGCTGCTCTACCAAGACAAATGTAGCACGACGCAAGACCATAACCGCAAAAGTCCAGCCAAGACAAGCAACAAATAACATTTAAATTTCGTTCTAACTGTGAGCTGTTTTCGTATCCTTCTTTCTGAAGAAATATATTTTCAATACAGCGTAGTGTTTGGAAACAAACGCAAAACATGACATGATTGGAAGTAACATAACATAACGCAGGAAAGAATTAATTGTGCGTTTGATGCAAATTTTCCACCTCCTAAAGTTATCGAGGACGCACGGACACCCAAGACTCGGGTCTTTCCATCCTGAAACCGAGACATTTAGTGAAGCAGGACCGTTGATTCTTCTCTGACCAACTGGAGTGGGTAGCTAAGATAAGTGAATGCAAAGTGTCCTGCCATGTCCAGACAAGAAAACCAATAATGAACAGTTTTTAACAACAGAAATTAAAATCTACCGTAGAAAACGACCACTGGGCAGACCAAGAAGGAGATGGGAAGATAATATCAAGATGAATCTTAGGAAGGTAGGCTGTGAGGATGGAAAATGGATGGAGTTAGCGCAGAATCGTATCCGGTGGCGGGCTTTGGTATTGTCAGTGTCGAACATGCGGGTTATACTACCAGGGAGTTAGTGTAATGCAGTAACATAATATGGCATTCGAATGATAGGTCTAAGTTAACCCAGCATGGAGGTAGTTCATTTGTCAAATTCCTTTTCATGTTGTCTGACGAGGAACGTGTTCCAGCTTAACACGTGGAAATAAACCGACAGTGAAAATAAAATATTTAATTCTTGGATTTATAAAACATTTAGGTTATGAAAGTTTCACGGAGTATAATGAAAGGAAAAGTTGAAGCTGCAAGTGGGAAACTAATGTTTCTTCATGCAGGACAAGTTCTACTTTCAACGGAACATCGATAATCTGACCGCTTTATCCGGAACATGTACACCCTCCCCACCCATTTCATTCTTTCCTTCCGTTTCTTTTGTTTCTTCATCTTATACCTGGCGCTACAGAATGTCCCTTGTACGTTCTGACCTCTTCCTTTCTAAATTTTCTGTCTACAAACGAAAGCGTCTCTCAGCACCACCAGTTTCATTGCCCACTTACCGGGATCAGCTCGATGCCAATTTCTACATTTTAATTATTTTTTATTTATTCGGTGGTATCACAGTACTACACAAAATTTACTGCCTGCTGAGTTAACAGAACCACGTGTTTTACACAGACGATAAAAGTCTGATATATTGTATAATTCAATCCATCAATCTACTTTAATAACCTTAATTTTGAATCTACTGCGTTCTCTCCTTAACATTTCATTGGCAGATTACACGGACACTGTGGCTGTTTTTTTTCCAAAATTTCAGCTACTTGGCTAACTCATCATACTTATGGTGCCAACTGAATTCGATGCAGAAGAGAAAATGGTGCTGTTCGAGAAAAATGATTTCCGAAACAAGAAAAGAGCTTTGTAGGCCTTAATGTTGCAACGTAATAAATGGGAAGAAACAAGTTGTGACACAGGCGTAAAGTTAAGTTGTGTAAATTTATTCTAGGTCTCCACTTCACATTAAGGAAGAATTAATAATTCAGCTGTACAAACAACCTTCTCCCAAACATCTGGTGTGGCGCATTTGATTTGAAAACTCCCCAGTATAAAGCTGGTCTAGATGGGGTCTGATACAGATTTACAATGTTGTTCAGATCCTTGTGTCTGTTTAAGTCGTTTAGCTTTAGGACAGTTATAATGTCATGAAGAAAATCATTAAGAAACCTAATCATACAGTTCCATTCAACATTACATGTCCTAATTCATAGTTTATATACTAACTGACGTCATCAAAATACTCCCTGCCGACGGAACACAAATATTGAAAATCGTAATAATAAAAGCCCGCATTTGAAACCAATTTTCAGATCTGTGCCAGTCTTCACATGATACTACAACATTGACCTGTCATATGATGATGGTTGGAGACGCAAGTTATAATGTATTATTAAGACGAGATTACTTTATGCAAAACAATAATGAGAACAATGGGATGATAAGATAATGAGTACGAAGATAATTATATCACATGAATTGGTAAGCATAGGCACTTACTTTACAATATCCAATTTTATTGTTGCAATGGGATGAGATTACGTCTCTGTAGAGTTCGGTCATCTCCCACATGGTACATGGATGAATGCAGCGCAGCATCAGAATTATATTGACAGGTAAACCAAAGGACTCGAAGAGAAAACTGTGTCGCTGGTACTTTGTCCACAAAGAATCCCACATCAACTGAACTGGTGCGAACCCGGTCCTCCACAGCGAGTAGTCGGCGACTAACCGCCTGAGTTACGGTACAATCCGATAGTCATGCCTGTGAGGAAGGAAAGATTCCTGTAGTAACCACAATAAGAAAAGTAGCAGTAAGTAGGAACTTACCTACTGACTGACTCCATCTGCTCACGAAACTAAACTAGATTAGGTGAAGATGGTTGTCTTCTGAGTTGTTGCGCTGAGTAGTCTGGTAGAAGTTTACCAAAGTTTCAGAGGTCCTTGCTGCCTCCATCATCACCCTGACCATGAAGGCAGCAAGGACCTCTGAAACATCAGTAAATTCCTACCAGACTACACGGCGCAAAAACCCAGAAGACAGTCATCTTCAGACTCACCGCCGTGAAAACCTCAAATCCTACACGAATGAGAATATGAAATAATCTACATATCTCATTTTAAGATGTATATCATCACTCAATACATTTTGTATAGTGAATATACGTATAACGAAATGCAAAGCAATGTATTCTCTGATTCCATAGTATATTATGATTAATATTTCGGGACTGGGATATATCACCAAGGATTTTCGTGGTATTCATAATTTCCTTTATATTTGAAAGCTGTCACAATGTCTATAAACAGGACATGACCGTTTCCTTTCACATTAGTTATTAGTTTTATTACTTCGGAGTTGGTATGACAGACCACTGCACAGTACAACACAAAATAACCAGATAGCAGAAAGCATTCACTTGTTCTAAGCGATGATTCGATCTACTTTCAAACTTAGAACTCAAGTAACCGACCATTACGTTCATTCTGTGCAAGCATTGACAGCATATTCTAATCCTCCGTAGTCTAATATTTCAAAGAAGCATGACACAGCACAAAAATGTCACCTGACGAAACGGGGTCACAAAATTTTACGTACATGGTTGGTACACTGCTGCAATCTTACAAATTTGTACGGCAGTCATGTATGTTACGAACGTTTTAGAAGAACGTGGTGCCTCCACATTCAGCTTTGATATATGGATAGAGGCAACATGTTTTCCCGAAACGTTGGTAGCCACCTACAAGACTATATGATGTCTCAACCCAGAAGACCATAAATTATGGAACTCACACACGAGCGCGGGCGCGCGCACACTGATGTTTAAACTCCAAGTCTTAAGAAGGCAAAGCTAGAAATTTTCTTCTTCCTAACCACCACGCCAAGACAACGTATGGAAATGAAGGTAGAGCAAAGCTGTACGTGAAATTGCTCGATGTAGATGACTGATGGCTTCAGACTCCAGTTGCTTTCGGCTGGTCCAAAAGCCAGTCTGGAAGAAAGGATTTCACGTCCGTGTCAGGACTCGAACTTCGGTTACCCAGTTGGTGGCTTCCAGTTTTATCACAAATTTTGTTACTATACCGATGTTCCAAATCCAGTAACAATATTAATTATATTACTATGATCATCGAAATAGTTAGGTCTGAAGGAAAAAAGATAATTTATTATACAAGTGGTGACATCATGTCTAGAAGAAAGGGAAAGTGTAAGGATTCTAACACGCTTAAAAATACTTTTAAGAAATGCTAAATGGATGAGGATGAAATCTTAACACTAAGGAAGAGTGAGTTCAGTGCGCCGAAAATATCAGGACTGCCAATTGAGAAAATTTTTAAATTTGCTCATGTGCAAAATTTTATAGAAATTACGAATTCACATAAAAATATAAAAGAGCACAAATAATAACAGATTTGATAGTTTAAATTACTTTGTAATACATCCTGAAACCAGTATGACTAAAATAAAATATACATTTTAAAAGAGAACCGTGTGATTAAATACATATTTTTCTGTTAACGAAATTGGGAGGAATTAAACTACCCGAATAGTACCAGAGTTTCGTTAGGGCTGCTTGGCATGCAGTGACTGTGAGTGTCACAGGTAATACCAATATTATCAAGCATTGGAGTCCGACAAATGTGAGGAAAGGAACTTCAAGGAAGGACGTCCGATTTCAGCATTTACTGAGTTTCCACCGTCTGTTCTATACTTCGCATTCGACACTATTAAACTTACGACACCGCGTTTTTTTATTATTTTAAAAAAGAAACATTTTATTATTATTATTATTATTTTATGTCAGTTGAATTCACATAAAAATATAAAAGAGCACAAATAATAACAGATTTGATAGTTTAAATTACTTTGTAATACATCCTGAAACCAGTATGACTAAAATAAAATATACATTTTAAAAGAGAACCGTGTGATTAAATACATATTTTTCTGTTAACGAAATTGGGAGGAATTAAACTACCCGAATAGTACCAGAGTTTCGTTAGGGCTGCTTGGCATGCAGTGACTGTGAGTGTCACAGGTAATACCAATATTATCAAGCATTGGAGTCCGACAAATGTGAGGAAAGGAACTTCAAGGAAGGACGTCCGATTTCAGCATTTACTGAGTTTCCACCGTCTGTTCTATACTTCGCATTCGACACTATTAAACTTACGACACCGCGTTTTTTTATTATTTTAAAAAAGAAACATATTCCTTTATTAACACATATTTTTAATCTACGTGTATCTTCTGCTACATTTCCATCCTTGTGGAAACACTATACTGTTGTTCCTGTATTTAAATAAAGGGAACATTACAAATGTTAGTAATTATAGACCCATTTCTATTCTTAACAATTCTTCCAAAATGTTTGAATTTGTTATTTACGACCACTTATCTTATTTCTTTTAAACACAGACTTAATCCTGCCCAAAATGGGATTCGAAAATTAAATTCCATATCAAGTAATCCGGTTACTTATTTGAACTCCATTATGCCAATTGTTAGCACACAAGGTCAAATTGATTCTGTACACTTTGACTTAAGTAATGCTCTTAAGATTGTCCCTCCCTCATATTCTTCTTCACAAGCTAAGTAATTTTGGACTCTCTTCCAGTTTTGTTGATTGGATTCACAGCTATCTTAGCAACAGACTTTCCTTCGTACGCATTTCTGGAACGCTTTCGTTTTCTTATCTTGTCAAGTCTGGAGTGCCTCAAGGTTCCACCTTAGGCCCCTTATTTTTAATATATTTATTAATGATATTTGCGACAGTCTTCACAATTCCAAGTACCTTTTGTTTTCTGACGATTTAAAGATATATCGTAATATTAGAAACCTTGTTCATTGTAAAATCTTGCAACATGATATTCATTCAGTGCAAAATTGGTGCCTTGACAATGGTGTGAAACTTAATTTAGGTAAAAGTACGATTATATCTTTTACTCGTAAAACAAACAGTAAATATTTTAATTAGAAACTCTAACTATTTGATATCACGTTCTCAGCGTGTACTATTGTACTGCAAGCTGTATTTACACCAGCATGTTGATTACTTATGTTCACAGGCCCTAAGAGTGGTAGGTTCGATCCGGTATATCACCTCTTCCTTTTCCACTCTGGGTAGCCTTTTGGTTCTGTACAATAATCTTGTTCGGTCCAAACTTGAATATGGATCTGTTGCCTGGAATTCCATTACTTCCACTGATTCTACTAAACTTGAAAGAATTCAAAGGAAATTTGTACCTTTATGTTACGCCAGATTCTTTAATGGCCTATGTACTAACTATAAATATGAAGACTCCACCTGAGGAGGAGGCATCTTGATGCTCTCTTTCTCATTAATACGTTCAAAGGCAAAATGTGCTGCCCATCCGTTTTGGATTCAGTTTGCTTGCGTGTTCCCTCTATATCCATTAGAGACTACTGCACGTTTTCAGTTCATCGTAGTTTCAAGGTCAGTCCCTCTGCCACATGTGTTTCTGCTGCCAATGCAGTCTGTCAGAGCATCGATATCTTTAACAAGGAGTGTATTTCGCTTATTCATATTATCTAGCCATTTTACTTGTACTATGTCGTCTAATTTGTTTTTCTTTTTTGTATCATATTTTGTTTTTTTATTTCTGTTTCCCTGTAATTGGCTGTTATACTTAATATGGTTCATTTATATATTTAGTTTATTTTGTTTGTTTTTTGTATTTGTAATATTTTTAATTTTATTATTATTATTATTATTTTATGTCAGTTTTTGTCTGTCATTGGCTTCTCGCTGTTAGCATACACTTTAATAAATGAATTGAATTTCATTATTTTAATCAGTATCGTCATAATTACATACGCTACCACCATCACTGCCATTATCACTTTCAGTATCAATCCGTCTATAGCCGGTCAAATATGACAGATCGACATATTTTTAGTTAATTTCATATTAATTTACTCCATAACTGGAGAATAATTATGGTAATTATTTATTGATTGATTTTATAATGATTAGCGTATGAGATTTATTCGTTTTGTGATTCTGGATTACTATTACTAAAATAGCGTACTCAGCTACAATGTCCGACATACTAGCAGAACGCATTCTCAACTTCTGTGCACACAAATTCACGCGTTATTTTACAAAGGTAAACGTCACTAATATTTGGAAGGAACGGACGCAGAACCCTGAAGCTGTGGGAAATATGTGTTCCACGAAACTTTGGTAGCCGTCTACAAGACAACATAAAGAAGGCCACAATCGACGAGATTAGATTCAAGACTGAACAGCAGTGAAACCCTGAAATTGTCTGAATGATTATAATAGCCGTAACCAAATTACATGCTTTAGTGTCACAGCAGAATCTTACAGGATTGCAACACCAACAGCGGAGTGCAGGCGAGTGAAGACAATTCAGATGTAACAGCGCAGTGGAGCTATTTTAGAACTTAGAACGGATCGTTGTTCCAGTAGCGCTGAGATTTTTAAATACCAGGAATTAGCATACTTTTTTAAGGCTTTAAATTTGCCAGCTTCTAAAAAAGCTATACAGACCTAGATTGTTGTTAACCAATTGTTTAAAACAAATATCAATATGAAAGAACTGTATGACAGCACCTAAATAGAAGTAACGAAAACAATGACTTCCGGTCATAACTCATAAAGCCCATTTTCCTACAGCACAGATTTCTACTTCAAGAAGTCTTGTGACGTGAGACCACAACAGGCCACTATGAAAGAAGCTGATCATGGTTATGACTAACTTGACTGACTTGTGTGGTTAATGGCTTATTCAAGTACTGTAAATTTATAATATAATAATAAAATGCAATTTAGCTCATAGACAACCCATTAGTTGAATTGTATTTATTATTTGTTCACACATCTACAATACCTGAATATACTTAGTGCGCATCGAACGGTAGCCAAGAAAACTTTCAGTTGTAAATGTGATAAATATATTTAATTTTTACACAGTGTTATGTCACCGTGTTCGTTGTTGTTGCCTAAAAGTTTTCATATAGAATATGTAGGCATATTTATTTTCTATCACGTCACACGCCTGGCTCGTATTTTCCAAAAGGTCGTGGTCTTTTCAACCATTGTATTTTTCGGGAAGTTAACCCTCTTGGTCAACGAGGTATTGCTACATTTCTTCTAAAGTCGATTTCATTGTCGTAATGAACAGGAATATCTTCTTCCCACGAAAAAGACTGTTGAAAAACTTTAGAGGAGGATTTATTTCACTGCAAACGTCAGGAAGATCAAGTCCATTTAATATATGGGAAGAGAGCACTTAAGATACTTAGGCATAGTTTGGAGAATAATATTAAAACGAATCTTAAAGAAATAGAAACTGTATGAAGTAAGTTAAGGACTGATTGAATTTTGGCCAGTAGCGGGCTCTGGTGAAAAATTTAATAAACGTTTGGATTATATAAAGAAAAAAGAACTTATTAATCAGGTGTGCGACTGTCAGCGACTCTGCTTCGTGGAGTAATTGGGCTGCGCTTGGAAGGCACAAAATTAGCTGTAAGTGAGAAACAAGCCTCCTTTCACTTGCACACTATTTGTATGATGTTACATAACTCTGACTTGTCTTATGTGAGAACATTGTTGTACGTGTGAAGGAGGAAGTAACAGCCAGGTAGACAGCCGGTGGAATATTCTCTTTACATGCTTCGTCCAGCATCCGTTACGTCACCGCGTCAGTGAATAACTTCAGAGTACATTAGAATCGCACGTTAAATATTTACCGTGGACACAAAATCTACTTTTATACACAGAAACCCCAAATGTGAACGCTATTTTGATAAAGTCCCACTTCCCAAAACTATCAAATGAAAATCCTATATAAGGAAATATAATTTTGAGTTCGTAATTTTTTTCGTAACAGAGACGTAAATGACAAATATTCCAAAACAATACACACCAGAAGATACA